AACATTAAATTCAAATAAATCACAATAATTCACGATTGGTTAAATATGTGGTGCAAAAAATTGTTATTCTGAAATTTGTCACAACAAATCTCTAAAGAAATGCTGTATTAATTTAGTTAAAGTTCTTTAAATTTAAAGGGGATTTTTAAATCATTTGAAATTATTTATAAAAAAAACACACACAGTGTCAGGTCTGCGTGGGGTTAATTATAAAAATATAAATATTCCCTTAATTGCATATATACTATAAATAAATGGAAAAAATTTAACTCACTTCCCTAGTTTATTTATTAATACATTGATTTTACTTATTTATATTTGTTCTCCATTTGATACGGTCATGAATGCACAGCAAAAAAACTATACTTAAAAAGTAATAGCCAAGGAATTTTAAATTTTTCATGGAAGAAAGTTTGTAAATTTCTGAGAAAACTTTTTGCTTTTCCTTTTTTAAATGGGTTGCGTTATAAAAGATTCCATAACAAAGCTCCGGCAGTATAATAAAAAAAAAGGAATTTTGACTGTTCAAAAAGCATTTACAGCAAGTTCCATTCACGCTCAAGTGTGCTGCGCAACGAAAAAAACGGCCTTATGACTATTTCATCCACTTTGTTGGCCGATTTATGGTTCAACTTTCCATCCCGAATAAAACGTGCCAAAGTTGCGGAGGCACACAGACCCGTTTCTGCGGCAGCACTTCTCAAAATTACTCTAAAAATGTTAACAAAGCGACGAGAAAATCCATTTCATTTTTCGTGACGAGCCCGATCGAATTACGTCTTTTAATTCGTTAAAAGGTTCCATTAGCCGCCTCGTTCCGCCACTCCGCTGTTCCAGTTTTCGACTTTCATACAGTCATGTAAGATGTTTGTATGTATATTGCCATTATTATTATTATAGTCCGCCAACCGTGCCTTCTGAAAGCATAAATTAGCCGAGATGCATGCATTTTATATTCTTTGCCGCTTCTGTCGACCGCAGACGTCGTGTCATTTTTGTTTCTTCTGCAAAAGTTGGATGTACACAGTGGAAATAATACGAAGCAAAACATGAGTTGGGAGAGATTGGATATAAATTTTGAACTATTTTACATCCAAATTTGTGACTGAAATTGAGATGTAAATTTAAGAAATAGTAAACAAGAAATTCATAATGTTTGCCCATTTTCAATTCAGTTTAGTTGTTGCTTTTTTCAAGTTTTAAACCAACGGATAGTTTTTTTTTTTTTGATATAAAAAAATTTAAAATAAATTTGTATAGGAAATAAATAAATAACTAAATTAGAAAATCAAATTAAAAATTTAATATTTCTCGTGCAGTTTTGTGGCATTTAAATTTTAATTTCCCTGAAAAATATTGTATAGTTTTATACGAGAAATTTTCAGAATCTTTCTCGCAACGAATTTTCTTTTTGCTAAGGAAATTTTAAAGGATTGTATGTCAAAATCAGATACAATTTATTTTTATCCAAAGTAGAGTAGTAAATTGAAATAAATTTTCGAATTTCTGACACTCTTATCTCATCAAAAAGACTTCCTCTGTAAATTAGATTCCTTTCGCCCGTTATTGCACCTTCCCTAAACTCCCTTCATCTTTCTGTCCGAAAATCTAGGTTCGTGCTTTCAACAGACCACAAAGAGAATCAGATATGACCCGAAAAGCCTCTTTCCGCACCCACATCAAAACCGAACTGCTGAAGCCCCCTACAAAGTTTTCAGCTTTTTGTTTTCGGAAAATGACTCTCCCTCTTCTCTTTTCCTGGAGACGCGCGTCGTGTGCCGACGACGCGGACGCGTGCCTGGAAAACCAAACACGCCGCGTGAAAGCTTTTCCATATCTCGCGCACTTCTTCCCTCATATACACTAATATCGATTCATCCCCGCGAGCTTTTTTCACCAGCAGCAGCAGCAGCAGCAGCATCAGGCTCGCGTGTGTTCTAAAAAACCAAAACCGCAGAGATCGTATTGGATTCCTCTTGAGGCCTAATTAAGTGCATGCGCCTTTTACATTTTTACTATCTCAATAGAACTTGCTATTCAATCCTTTCTCGTCTGGTATAATATTAATTATTTAATTTACAAATTTGAGGAGTAATTTTAAACTCCTATTTTCAATTCTGTCAGAATCTAAACATTTTTGTAAAATATATAAAAAAAGCTTGGTATTAAAAATTTAGCGTCAAAATATGACTTCTCAAATATGTTACGGTTTCATGAAACCACAATAGTACTGTATCTTTCACGCTGGAGAGAAACTTTGTTTGTTTTTTTTTTTTTTTTTTTTTTTAAAGTGGTCCTTTAAAAAAAAGAAAAAAAAATTGGTAATGAGGTTATGAGGAAATTTGTTGAGATTGGGTTTTGGGAAATTCGGATCTTTGGTTTATTTTAGATGTTGTCTTACTATAATTTTCATGCATTTTTTATTTCCCCATCCTAAAAGAGGAAATTGCCATTCTCAAGTAAATTAAAAATAAAATAATAATTTTTGTAAAAATATTAAATATTTTTCTTTTTAATCTCTTTATTTTGCATTATTAAATGATTAAAACCCAAGAATGACTTTGAAATTTACTATAAATAATTTGCTTTTTCTGTATTCAATTACCATTGAATACTTTAGAAAGGTGTACAGAAAAAGCCAAAAATACTAAAAACTGTGACTATGTAATATTTTTCTTGTAATACACTTTTTATTATCATTTACAAAAATTTTACTCAAAATGGTATTAAAACAATGGAAGCTCAATTTGAAGCATCCAGCTGAAAAACCGTATCCTTTTCTCACCGAAAACCCAAATATTCATAATCCCGGCTTATGTACTACGCATGTTTTCAGCGGTTTTGTATAAAATTGTCTGGGTGGATTTAAATTTTAGCGACGGGCAGAATTTTGCAACCACCACTTGACTTAATGTTTGCAGTGGCATGACTGTGTTTTTGCAAGCAGGTGTTCATCTTCCCTCTCGTTCCGGCGCCGAAAAAGAGAGGACCCTCGAGGGACATCCCCTTTTTTTTATTCCTCCCAACCAGACTTGTCGCGCGACGAGCGGAAAATCGACTTCTTGATACAGAGAAAAAGGAGATCTCCTTTGTTACTCGAAATCAATATTTCTGCTTCGGGGACATCAAAGGGTGGGTCTGACTGAGCGAGCACACCCACCCGTTATTAGCTTATCCCTGCGTTTAGGGTGTTTAACGAAAACATTTTGCATTCGCCTCACGCACCATGAGATAACATGGTGGGGCAGAATTGTGCTGGGATGAAAAAAATTTATTAAAACGGAAAAGTTAAGCAATTCATGTTAAAGATTTGGTTTATTCTTGTGGGTAGAATGTTTTACGGGACTTATTTTCCTCGACTTTCAACTTGGTTTTCTCCTCTCCTCTGATATATTTGATGAAAACGGAATTTGAAGTTATAGTCAGAAAAGGTTTCCTTATCAAAATTTTAAACATTTTCATTCTTTGAACTGATTTTATCTGCTAGTCTGTATTTTATTTTGAAATAATTGTACATTTTTAAGATTCTATCCATTTTCCACCTTTCTCCTTCAAAATTTGAGCTTCAAGTTGTCAACGTTTTTAAAAATGTGAATTTCGGGGGTGATAAAAATACTCTTCCCTCTCCACGAGTGACAGATTACAAGAGGGATGGATGGTCTCGGGCGCAATCTATCGATCGGGACCAAATTCCTCTCTGGTATAAAATTTCCAACACATCAGGAGAAACGTGACCTGCGATATTATGCTGTGTGATGTGCAGCTCTTCTTACTATGTCTGCTGCAGCCGAACCATTTATCAAAAGAAAAAAAAAACGCGAGAGATAAAATAATTTTGGCGTCTCGTGTTATTATTATTATTATGATTGTGTTTTCCCTGCGGAACGGTTTGGCATTTGCAGAATCGTGCTCTCGTGACCCAGTGCATGAAAAAGCGCTCGCTGTTTGGCACTTATTTATTTACGTGGGAATGCAGCCAACTTGCATGATACACCCGGCCAATCTGATACATATGAACCCCACACAAGTAGGGAAGAAAAGCTTATAAATCTCTTTTCCGTGGAGGAGATAAATAATGGTCCTTGTATTTTTCTTGAGTTTATTTTTCTTCCTCAAAAAGAGGGGTGCTAAATCAATTTCCGGTGAAAAGGTTACTTAAAAAATAGAATAAATTAATTAATGTATAAAAGATTGAATATGGATATGATTTAATTTGTATGAAATAAAAAATTAATTTTTTTTATTAGATTAAATACACATAAAACGGTCAGTAAAATAAAAAAAGGAATAATAAATAATTAAATGAATGAATGAATAATTTATTTTTGTTTATATCAGTCGAAACAACTTCATCCGCTATTAGCCAAGGAAAAATAATTATTGAAAATGCATAAAACATCAATTAAATCAAATATTAAAGTTTGGAATAATATAGAATAAAAAGCAAAAATTTAAAATACAAACAGGTGAAGTGAGTGAATCAGGTAAATATTTAACTTTCCATTAAAAAAAAAATACCTTTTCCTGATCAAATCTGAAAATCTATTAAATTAAAATTTTTCACACACAAAATTGTAAAGAAATGATCATGAAAAAGAAAAAAAAGTGAAATTTAAATAAAATAATTCCGTTTTCCTAAGACAAGATTATATTTAATGCACAAGGCAAAGTCGAGACGGCCGTGTTGCTTCTTTTTGGAGCGAGCGGTGCATGAAATGAAAAGGAGCGTCCGTGCAGAGGGTCGAATATAAAATTCCTGAGGCGCGTCACAAATTTGTTTCACGGGCTGGGCAGCGCACACAAAAAAATTTATCTACGTCGACCGGGAGAGTTTGCGTGGGGTCCAATTATTTATGAATCTCCCCATCCCCTGATAATGATAATAAAACGGCGCGCGGTTGAAAAAATCGTCTCTAGCGCGTGTTGTGTAAAAGTTGTTAAGTCACGTTCGCTTCTCGATTGACTTGTTTTTCATAAGTGTGTTTTTTCTGTGTTCGCAGGCGCAGGCGGCCGAGCCGGACGCATCATGGACAGTCCGCGCGCCCTGGACGTGCTGCCCCTGCTGCAGGAACGGCTGGCGGAGCTGCCGGGGGCGAGGGACCGTCGCGGAGGGCCCGTCCTCTTCTTTCCAGCCACACCTCGCAGGGAGCGCGCCAAACCCGAGGACTACCGACGCCTCCTGCAGTACTTGCTCAGCATACCATGGTAATTAAAAATGTTTAAATGCAGCGAAACACTGACTTAAACAATCGAATTGAAATTTATTTATTTAGGGAGTTAATTTTTTCAAAAATTCCCTTCATTGCAATAAATTTTTATCAAATTGTTTGAAACATGTTAATGTGGAATTATATTACAATTTAATTATTTCACAACACTAAACCATTTTCTTCAAAAATTGTGTACGTGTGTAAACTTTTGCAATTTTTAAGGATTTAAAAGTATTGAGCTTGTTTTAGTGATTAAAAATAATCATATGGAATTGAAATAAATAAGTATAATTAAATGAATTTTAGAATCTGAAAGTTGTCCACAGATTTTGACTGATTTCCTTTAACTGCTTTAACAAAAATAATAATAATTATTATTGATCTTTATTGACGTATGAGGCGTCACCACGATGTAATTACTCATTGCGACGCGCCCCATTTGCAACATAGTACAAAACAAGTAAGAAAAGAGAGTTACCATTTCGCCCCAATCCCTCACTGTCCCTCACCAACAAAAAAACCGGTCATCAATGCAGATTAGATGTGAATTTTTCCCTGAAAATTGCGTTTGGCGTTTCCTTTAACAATGCAAGCTCATTACATCAATTTGAATGAAGCAAAATAAATTATTTAGACATTGAGTCTATTTTCACTACACATTCCTTTGAGACACTTTTGCAAATTCATATACAACAAGTGGGGCCAGGGATTAATGCCCCTTTGTGTTTTATCACGAATTCCTGTGGCCGTGCCTCGGATGGGAATTTTGACACAAAATTGAACCGAAACTCGCTGACGACCGCATACGAACGTGCCGTAATGTTTTTCTCAATTTTTGTTTTCTCACGAAGAGAATTTGCCTGCTTCAATTCATTACCGCATTATTTCACAGACTGCGAATCGCAGACGTACACGCTTTTAGCCGGGGTGGCTGCGGCAATTACGGCGCAGCTCTTTTCACTCTCGGCCATCGGTGTGAAAAGGTTGAGCTGCGCGCGCTTAATTAAGGTTCCGCCGCCGCCGGGGTCTGAAATAATTAAAACTAATGAGCACTACTGCACAGAGAGCGAACAAATTTCAACTTCAGCCAGCGAGCGAGAGAGCGGGTTTATTTATTTGCTGCAAGTGGCCCCACTTTGCGTCATCTGCTCGCAAAGACGTGTGGAGGAGGCTGCTCTTGATTAGCCGGCGGGGCAAAAGGGCAGCCCATTTAAAAGTTTGTAAACAATTAACAGGCATTCATCGGCTCAAACTAGCTCTAATTAATTGAATCGCTTTTTAATTTTCTCAGTGGATTTGCAACTTGAAACTGGAAGATGTTTCGAATTTAATTATTTATAAATTCAATTTTTAATGGTTAATTTTGTTGGTTTTAAATTTTGTTTATCGTTTTTTATTTCTCCAATTTTTGGTGTACGGAGAATTTTTCCATGGAGAGTTGTTCCACGGCCGTTTGTAGAATTGTTCCATGCATCACGTGACATGACATGACATGTGATATGCGGCGACTTGTTAACCGCGTGGACAATTTTTAGTGCAGTTCACATTGCTTTCAAGTTTTATTCGTGATGTTTTTAAATAAAACATATGACTAAAATTTTATTACTAAAATTAATAAATAAATAAATTACTTATTAAGAATCAAAATTTCCAACTGCGCCAAATAAATTTTTAGACTAAAATTCACTAACATTTATTTGGAAGATTCAAAACAATTTCAAATAACAAAATAAAAGAATTATACAGGGCGATATTCTCTTCACTTATTTGTCTCGGAAAAAAGTTATCCCGTCATAAATCCAAGGGGATAAATTTTATCCCGCTGTCCCAGGATGAACATTTTTTTATCATACCTTCAATCAATTAATTAATGCGGCCCATCTTGGCGCGGACCTCTTTTGAGGCTTCCCGTTTTAGCGACTTGTTCGCCAGAGGTGCTGCCGTTTCTTCACATTTTTTTCTTGATTTCATGTATTACTACTTTGTGAAGAATAAACAATGATAATAATATAATCATTTGGTATAAATTTGGTATGCTCCCTTCAACCGGAGAAAATATCTTGGGCCAGAAGAAATACCTCCGATAAGAGCTACTCCCTCAAGCCAAAGCTTTTCTTCCAGGCTGGAGTCGTAGTCTCAAGCCGGAGTTACTCCCTCTTAGCGTAACCAGCAACTCTCTTCATTCATCCAGAGATGCTTCCTCAGCAAGTGTCACTCCCTCTGGCCGGAGTTGCTCTCTCAGCTCCCTCATGCAGGAGTTACTCTCTTTCCAGAGCAGCTCCCAGCAGCATTAGCATTTATGGCCAGAGTTGCTCCCTCATCCCAGAGTCACTCCAACTGGCCGCAGTTCATCTCTCTCCTGCTCCCTAATGCAGGAGTTACTCCCTCTTTCCAGAGTCACTCCCTCTGGCCGGAGTTGCTCTCTCCCGCTCCCTAATGCAGGAGTTACTCCCTCTATCCAGAGCCGCTCCCAGCAGCTGTAGCATTTTTGGCCAGAGTTGCTCCCTCATGCCGGAGTCACTCCCTCTGCCGGAGTTGCTCTCTCCTGCTCCCTAATGCAGGAGTTACTCCCTCTTTCCAGAGCCGCTCCAAGCAGCTGTTGCATTTTTGGCCAGAGTTGCTCCCTCATGCCGGAGTCACTCTCTCTGCTGGAGCTGCTCTCTCCTGCTCCCTAATGCAGGAGTTACTCCCTCTTTCAAGAGCAACTCCCGGCCGCTATAGTATTTTTGGCCAGAGTTGCTCCCTCATACCAGAGTCACTCCCTTTGGTCGGAGTTGCTCTCTCCTGCTCCCTAATGCAGGAGTTACTCCCTCTTTCAAGAGCCGCTCCCAGCCGCTATGGCATTTTTGGCCCGAGTTGCTCCCTCATACCGGAGTCACTCCCTCTGCCGGAGTTGCTCTCTCCTGCTCCCTAATGCAGGAGTTACTCCCTCTTTCCAAAGCCGCTCTCTGCAGCTGTAGCATTTTATGCCAGAAATGCTCCCTCATGCCGGAGTTGCTCTCTCCTTCTCCCTAATGCAGGAGTTACTCCCTCTTACCAGAGCTGCTCCCAGCCGCTATAGCATTTTTGGCCAGAGTTGCTCCCTCATACCAGAGTCACTCTTGCTGGCCGGAGTTGCTCTCTCCTGCTCCCTAATGCAGGAGTTACTCCCTCTTTCAAGAGCCGCTCCCAGCAGCTGTAGCATTTTTGGCCAGAGTTGCTCCCTCATACCGGAGTCACTCCCTTTGGTCGGAGTTGCTCTCTCCTGCTCCCTAATGCAGGAGTTACTCCCTCTTTCCAGAGCAGCTCCCAGCAGATTTTACTCCAGCCGGAGTTGCTCCCTCATGCCAAAAGCAATCCCACTGGCCGGAGTTGCTCTCTCCAGCTTACTCATATAGGAGTTACTCCCTCTTTCCAGAGCCGCTCCCAGCAGCTGTAGCATTTTTTGCCAGAGTTGCTCCCTCATGCCGGAGTCACTCCCTCTGCCGGAGTTGCTCTCTCCTGCTCCCTAATGCAGGAGTTACTCCCTCTTTCCAGAGCCGCTCCCTGCAGCTGTAGCATTTTTGGCCAGAGTTGCTCCCTCATGCCGGAGTCACTCCCTCTGCTGGAGCTGCTCTCTCCTGCTCCCAAATGCAGGAGTTACTCCCTCTTTCCAGAGCCGCTCCCAGCCGCTAAAGCATTTTCGGCCAGAGTTGCTCCCTCATACCAGAGTCACTCCCTCTGGTCGGAGTTGCTCTCTCCTGCTCCCTAATGCAGGAGTTACTCCCACATTCCAGAGCCGCTCCCAGCAGCTGTAGCATTTTTGGCCAGAGTTGCTCCCTCATGCCGGAGTCACTCCCTCTTTCCAGAGCAGCTCCCAGCAGAATTTACTCCAGCCGGAGTTGCTCCCTCATGCCAAAGGCAATCCCACTGGCCGGAGTTGCTCTCTCAGGCTCCCTTATGCAGGAGTTACTCCCTCTTTCCAGAGCCGCTTATTATATTATATAATATATAATGCTTAACAAAATAAATAAATCTTGAATCTAACCCTTCTGTTTATGAAATTTCTTATTTAATATTTAGTAATAAAAAATTAAGAATTTCGAGAAAACAAACAAAGTGACATTACCACTTTACCAAAAGTTTTCCTGCTCACCGAGCAGCAATTCCTGCACCCTTTCCCCCCGAACGTTTAATTGCACTTCTCGGCGCGAAAGTGCCTTGGCGAGAAGTTAATTTCCTGGCGAGACCCTCTCGATTGCGCAAAAACGCTTCGCCGACTAATTTCCAACTTTGAGAGCGCGACGCTTGCTGAAATTCGGTTTGCTCCGAGTGAGCGGAGCCTGTGATTATACACACCCTTACTCATCACTTGTAATTGAATTGTTGCAGCGAGGAGCAGAGGGAGTTGGGCTTTGCGGTGGTGATCGACATGAGGGGCTCCACCTGGAGCACCGTCAAGCCCATCCTGAAAGTGCTGCAGGAACACTGCAACGCGCTCATCCACGTGGCCTACATCATCAAGCCGGACAACTTCTGGCAGAAACAACGCACCTCCCTCGCTAGTCACAAGTACAAGTTCGAGGTGAGTGTCTCTTTTAGCAAACCCTTGCCCATTCTCAAGCACCCCTCTTTGCAGACCTGTTTGATCGGGCTGGACGCGCTTCCCAAGTCGGTAGACACGACGCAGCTGACAGTCGACCTTGACGGCTCTCTTCACTACGATCACGCTCACTGGATCGAAATGAGACTGGTGAGTGCATTATTCAAGAGAGCAACAGTTTTGTACAATATAAAAAAAGACAAGATTGTTCTAATTCAATTATATATAAAACAGAAATTACTTGTTGTATATTTTTGTATTGTCTAATATTTTGAATTGAAAATAGTTTATTTTTATCATTTATAGTTATTCCAATCGAATGTATAAAAAAAATTAAATCAATTTATTAATAAAAAAAAAATCCAAAATTATTTTCTTGAAGGAAGCAAGTAAACTTTTGTTAAAAAGATTTTCCGTCCTTAAATTCTGTATGATTTCATAATTTTATGCATATTTTTATTTCGATTGAATATATAAAAAATATAACACTTTTTACTTTGCAGGCCCTTGAAGATTTCCTCTGGCAGGCAGCCGACCTGCTGGACCGTTTGGACGACCTGCAAGAGGATCTCTCCCGGGGCGACCTGGCCGACGACCTGCCGGGCGCCAAGGCCGCCCTTGAACTGCACAGCGAAATGAAAAAGAAGATTTTAAAAGCACCCGTAGAAGAAGTAGATCTGGTCGGCCAGAGGTTGCTGCAGCGGCTCTCAGGCGAAGGGGGACCAAGTGGTTACGACTCGGGCTACTCGGGGCGGGACTCCGAGGCCAGTTCGGGCACAACCAACCCTGACCTGCAGGCCAGCGTGCCCGAAATCCTGCAGCACCTGGAGGCCGGCAGAACGGCGCAGCAACAACTGCTCTCACTGTGGGCTCACAAAAAGGCTCGTCTAGACCAGTGCTTTCAGCTCCGATTGTTCGAGCAAGACTGCGACAAAGTTAGTTGATATTTTTGCCATGAATATCCATTTTGGAAATAATTTCTTTTGTGAAATTTGATTTATTTTTGATTATACAAATGATACAAATTTACTGTTTCACTCAGATGCTGGACTGGATTTGCCGAAACCGAGAAGTGTTCCTATCAAACTATGTCGAGATTGGTCATTCATACCAGTTGGCTCAGCAACTTCAAGAAGAACACAATCATTTTACTGCCAACTCTATGGTAATTCACGAATTCCCACTTTTTTGCTCTTTATGAATAAATATTTTCACTTATTACAGAACGCCTTTATAAATATAAACCGGGTGCTGGGAGCTGCCAACAGGCTGCTGGAAACAGGCCATTACGCAGCCAACAGGATAAGGCATGTTGCGGCTCGGCTGGAGAGGGCTTGGAAAGAGTTTGCGGCCGGACTGGACGAGCGGAACGCAGTTCTGAGTCTGTCCGTCATGTTCCATCACAAGGCTGAGCAGGTACAAAAGCTGAAATTCAACAGTTGTCAACTTCCTTTGCATTCCCAAGACCAAGTGGCACCTGTTCATAATCACTCTTTGCATTTCGATGAATTGAAATATCAAATTCCGAGTCATTTTTTGACGTCGGTTTTTATACAATTTTTCTCCCCGAAAATGTGACCGTGACTAAATTAACATAATAAAACCCCATTGATTTCTAATTTTGCTTCCAACCTGCAGCTGCACGCTATTGTAAGTGAAAAATCTTCAAAAGGACTATAAGGATTTTGCTGTTTTCTTGCAATGCACACAAAACTGCACTCATGCACTTTTAACTCTTATCAAATGTGTGAATGATTTTCTAGATTGATGAAATTTTGCATTTTTCACAATTATAGATACAAGAAAAGTGGACTTTCCTAATAATAATGGCAGCTTAGGAATACTATTTAGGACATTTTGTACAAAAATAATCACCTTACATCTTTTATACTCGATTTTCCTTTTTGCATTTTTGCATTACATAATTATTCTCGATTGGAGAAGATATTTTTGCATAAAACGCATGGTTTGTCTTTGTTGTCTCTCAAATTGATTTTTACTTCTTCTAAAATACCGGAATAATTTTCATTTCCAGTACGTGGAAAGCACACCAGCTTGGAGCCAAGCTTGTGAAGTAGGCAACGCGCCGAGTGATATTACAGAGTTAGAGGCTGCGATTCACTCTCATCAGAGTCTCTACGAAGCAATGTGCCAAGCTTACACTGAGGTGATGATATTTGACTTATGATTTTGCAATTCCTCCTTCCCGTTAAATCTGAAAATTGTAAAAAAAAAATGGACGATTTGCGCCAAAATTATTTCAGGTTTATGAATCCTACCAGAGATTACTCGATGGTTTGGACAGAATGGTGATTTTGAGGCATTCACAGCAGTCACCACCATTCTGCGCCTGTCATCACAAAGTATGTCCCTCCTGACAATTGGCTATTCATCTGGAGAGGCGCATACAAAAAACTTCTTGCTTTTTCTTTCCCTCTTTGATACATAAATTTATTTTGTCTTTATATTTGGTGGCGTGCTTTAACGGGGCAGGTGGCGGTTTGTTCATTTCAGGTTCATAGCACCAGCAAAAAGCTTCTTTACCAGCTTGACCACCTGGTCCAGGTTTGCAATCAACCGGGGATGGAGTCGGACCGCAAACATGTAATTAATAATTAATACAACATCATACTAGGCTCACATTTTAGTTTAAAATTTCTTGTCAGACTTTCTTTTTTATTATTTTGGGTTTGGTTTTGATTTTATTTTTACATTATAAGTTGATACATTATAAGTTCTAACTCACTGTTAGTCAAAATTGAATCAAAGAATTGGATGTGATCACTTTTTTCCGCCTCCAGGGTGAAGGTTCTTCCTACGAAGGCAGTCGGAATAGCGGCGGTGGCGGAAATCCTGCCGCTGACTATTCGGAGGGTGCCGGCCATGTTCTTGATGTGATACACCAAATATTAAACCACCACCGAGCCCTTGAGAATCGATGGCACTCGAACAAAATCAAATTGCACCAGAGACTGGCCTTGCGGCTGTTCCAAGGAGATGTCAAACAAGTAAGAAATAATTGGCATTAAATTGCTAAACTTTGCATAGAACGTATCGCAAGCCACTCAACACAAAAATTGTACATATATTTTTTTAATACAATAATAGAAACTTTCAAACTAATTGTTATTAATTTTTTACCTGAATGCGATCTGCGAGGTGCAGAAATGGAACTATTAAAAAAGCTTCTTCACAAATTTTTTATTTTTTTTAATCTTCCATAATTATTGCTTTATTTCTGGATTGCAGACTGTTTATGTTTTGTTTCACAGGTTGCATAATTTGCCGTTTTGAGCTCTATTTTTTATTCAGATTGAATTCAGTCTTTTATTTACTCTTTAAAGTAAAGCAATTGTTTGTTTTAATTAATTTGCAGGTCTTGGACTGGCTCGACAACCACGGTGAAGTGTTCCTTTGTAAAAACACCGGCATCGGCCGCTCCCTGCCCAAAGCCCGCGTCTACCAAAAGAGTCACGAGCACTTCGAGCGTGTCGCACAGGTAGGACCACTTCACTTTCTTTCTATTGCTCATTATTTCGCTTAAAAACTGGAGAGCCCTCGTCGAGGCTAATTGAATTCACCGACCGGCGCGCGCGTTGTAGTGAAAACGGGCTGCGATAGAGGGAGATGATGAGTTTTGCGCCGCGGCTCGTCTGGAGCGGGGTCACCGCAAGAGATGGCGTTCGAGCCAAGAATGGTGATCATTGTTGGCGGTGATGTGACCCTAGAAGGAAAAGGCGGGCGTGCGTGCAGACTTATTCCTTTTCGGTGCGCGATCATGTGAAGGTAACGGGGAGTGAGTTGGATTGACACTGTTTGGGTTTAACAACCAGGAGGTGAAAAAGAAAGAAAGAAAGAAACGCAGGACTTTACGAATTTACGTGGCGGACTAAAAAGAGTGAGTCGAATTAATTAATTCTTTAAATTTTAAAATTAGAGTACGTTTTTTTATATTAATTAGTAAAAATACCAAATCATTACAATTTATTTTTAAAGAATTAAAAATACTTAAAAGTTTATGTGAATTTTAGTAACTTAAAGTTAATTCTTGGTAATTTTGAGAACTTGGCGCGTATTAAGAACAACAAAATAATAATAGAGCACCGAAAAGTAGCTCCATTATCTGCGCCAGGCCGCGAGCACGTTCACTTCTCAGGCAGCAACCTCTCTTTCTTTTGTTTGGGGGCAATTATTATTTTTATTATATCACGGCGTCTCTTACGAAATCGCGGAGGAATAAATGCAAATCGCGTGTATGCAGCGCGACGAAAATCTTGGTCATGGGAATCCGCTCGAGTATTAGTCGAGACAATATATAAGCTGTCTCGGTTTCATATTTTTCCTTCTCGCTCGCCATTCTCATTGAAGCCGAGCAGAGAAATTTGACCCAAGGCAGAGGGAAGCTTTAATACAGGCCTCGGTACATGAATACAAATGCTGAGCTCGGTGTTGGATGTCTTGAGAGACTCGTATTCGAATCACATCATGCAAATCGAATTCACTTCTCAATAGAGACGTCTCACTCACTCTTTCAAGAGAGGCGAGTTGTGTAATATAATTATTGCCGGTCCGAGTTGCGTGGGTCGGATCGTGATTATCCATCCAACGTGGTATGTTGATCGCGTCTATTAACACCTATGCATTGATATATTGATTGGAGTTTGCGAGTTTCGAGTTTGCATATATTGTGTTGTGCGGAAAGGCGCTGATTTTATAACACGATCGGGTTTATTTAAATTATACATACACCGTGCAACCTGAGAGATGAGCAAGAAACGAGGAAGTTTGAAAAGTGAAATGGGATTCATTCTTGGCACCTACGCTCAAGAAATCCTACACGTTTTCCTTAAGCTCACAAACAGAATAAAATTTGATCTCGGAATACCATCATATTTGGTAAAATGAAAGTTTTTACTTTCAAAACTAATTCAATTACAGAAAATTTCAAGAAAAAAATCAAATAATAGCTAAAAATTTACATTTGTATATGGATAAAAATTTTAGAATTTCTATTTAATGAAATTTTTGTACCCCAATTGGTACATTTCATTGACTTTTTTCTGAAGATTTCCATAAATTGATTTTTTTTTTATAATTCTGTGAGCGTATGTAATTAATTTTAATCGGCACATAAAATACTAAGAATTAATCCAATAACATTTGCAGAGAGGTGAAATTTTTTTCTCCAAAATGTGGCTGTAAACCTCGCGTGATTGTTAACTCGACCAGATGAGCTCCGTTTCCATCTGACGTTTGTTGACAATAATTAGTCTGAAATCCTTGGGTCTAATAATAATTTCCCGGCTGCTGCAGCCGAAATATTAATATCAGCAGATCTCTTAGCCACATTCCGTGTTACGCGCTGTCGTTTTAATTAAACACGCCAGTCGTAATTAACCTTCCGCCGGCGGCATCAGTTGTACAAGAAAATCCATCAGTGCCCACCGAGATTTACCCAAGTCTTGCGCATAAATTATCATCATTGTCTTAGTTCCGAGGGGCTCTTTTTGTCGCGCACAGAGAAGCTTCGACGCTAAGAGGGTTAATTAATGCTCCAGAATAACTTTGCCCGACGTATATAAATAATTAATAACCCCCGTTGTGAAACCCCTTTGAACGCAAAGTGCAGTAATTTGCGATGGAGCTCTGTTTTTTTTTCGCTGCAGCACCGGAAGCCGCGCTTTATGGATGAGCACCCGTTGGGATTTTTATTCACGCCCTCATTAACTTGTTGTTGCTTTTTGAAATAAATTTCGTTTTCGCGGTGAAATCTGATCGAACCCATTCGCCACCTGGTCATTGTTTGATTTGGCCCAGGTGCGAATTCCTCAGCTCTTTTCATTTCGTAAGCTGGAGCGATATCGATCGAAAGTGGCGGCTAAACGTGCGTTTATTGAATTGTCAATTAAGCGCCCCCCTAGCGCTGTCATCAACGCGATTAGCATATTATTTTACTGGTCGGCGATCATCAAACGCGTGCACGGGGCTGCTGCGTCCACTTAATTCGGCGCGGCTGCATTCCGCGCTTGGCTAGTCTAGGTTCGACGCACGGTCTGCTGAGCAATGGACTGATTGAAGTCTCTCTCTGTTTATTGGGCGCGCAGAAATGAAATCGAAAAATAGAATAGCACCTCAACCGTTCTGCTTATCTGATTTTGTTTTGTCCGCGGTCAGTGCTGTTTCAGCCAAACTGATTTATTGAACTGACAGCGAGTTTTTGTTTCACCATTTCATGGTGGTATGAACAGTTGAAATTTTTTAATTCCTTTTGCAAATATTTGTTAATCGCATTTCACAAAAAAATGGAAGTTTTATTTAACAGGCTAAGTTTTCTGCTGTTTGAAGACTTCGAAAAGCATCACGTGATCAAGTATTATTCAATTTGAAGCAAAAATAAAAACTGATGTTAAAATTGAGTAAATCGGAGACTAAATTGAAAATTTAAGTAATCTAAATTATTCTTAATTTGATGATCCAAAAAAGTTTCAACAGAAGAGAAATTTGATCATTATTTTTTTTTTATGGGCATGATTTTCATTTTTAATTGTATTATTTTTGTGTGTTTTGCTGTTCCTTCATTTACATTCTATTTTTTACTATTTATCTGTATCGTATTTTGGTAATTAAATGGCAACGAACCTGATTTTTAGTATTTCGTTGAATTTGAAATTCGAAAAGCGTTAGAGTCCTGATTATCATACAATTCAATTTTTTTTGCAAAATATATCTGCAATTAAAATGATGCAGTGAATTTATGCAGGGAAATTCCACATTCCCGACGGTTGGAAGTTGGAAGTTCACCGTCAGAAAATCAACACCAACTTTTGAGCTCGATCGTCGAGTCTCTCTTTTTAAAGGGCGTTTCCGCCCTTTTCACGCTCCGGCGGCAGAATCACTCGGCTTGTGCAAATACACGATGGGAAAATGCAAGCGCAGATCAAAAGCAAAACGGTTGTTGCCCTTTTCCTACTCTAATGGGGAAAAGATCGATGCGCCGCTAGAAGAAGAAGAAGTGCATCAACCGGCACGACACATTCCGGGGCGCAGGAGTCAATTTGCGTCTATGTTTGCCCAGATCAAGTAAGGGTTTGTTTGATGATGTTATTTATTCCGTGTCACGAGCTTTACACTGGACGGCCGCAAAGCCTCTCCAAACATTATACCCTCGGCTAAATATCATCTCTGAAACATGTTTTGGATGCAAACGGGCCACCCCCATCAACAGCATCGCGTTCACCATTATTATTATTATTATGCGCACAAAACGAGACTCGCCGCCATCATTTTTCTCTCTCTCCACCGAAATGACTCTCCCTCCAAAAAACACGAATTTCCGTCTCATTCATTTAATTATTTCTGCGTCCCCACAGGCAAAAGTCGGTCCTTTTCATATCTTTTGACAATTTTGAAGTGTATGTTTGCCGCAATGAAAGCTGGCCAAACAAAAATTTGGAAGAGCAAACACTTCTCTGATGGATTCGCCCATTTCCATTAGACCGGCCTAATGAGAGAAAGAACCCTCTCTGGTCTGTCCGTCAACAATCTTCTCCGCGGATGATTTATTTTCCATTTCTTTGATAACGCCCCGCTCTCGTTCGTGTATAATAATGCCCCTTTCGCCACACCCCTTTGTGCAGTCAAACGTCAAGAGAAGATAAGTTTCGCCTGCGCGAAAGTGTTGGAAGGGTAATCAGGGCCGTCTCTGCTTTTTGCAAAGTAATTAAATTGACGATTCGCCTGGGCCCTTTTTGCTTTGAGAGGCGCAAAAAGCTGCCGTAGCCGGGGAAAAAGTGAAGATACGCGATCTTTTGAGACCAACACATACAAAACAACCCTCGCACCCCCGTCTCGTAAATCCAAAAGTCGCTGCCGAGAGAGAAGAGCAGGGTTTGTCGCACGCGCGCCCAGAAAAAAAAACATGTGCCGCGTCATTTGTAAATGGCGCGAGGGAGATGCGGCGCCGTTTGTGTAAAATGAAGATGTGGCCACATTTACATACGAGTGTGCTTATTTGTGGAGAACTTTTTTGTACGGTACCATTTATCAACTTCAGGATGAGTTCCTGAAATTATATGTCATGAATTATTATGAGAAATAAAATCTTGGAATAAATTGGCAAAATAAATTCCAAATTGTCCTTTCCACTAAATGCAAAATTATTCTTAAATAACTTTTAATCAGTTGAGCCTTTCAATATTTTTTAAAGAAAAATCAAATTTGTGTTAGCCTTTTTAAATTTCTTATCAATTTTTTAGATTTTGTTATAATTTTACAGATATTCTCCAACTTTTTTACGATTTCCGTCACAATAGGAACAAAATTTTCGTTATTTTTCCCTCCAGACTCCATCCAATCTCTCTTTTTTTTCTGGCAGTTTTTTCTCTTCTTTTTCTCATTATCACCAGAGAGCTCTTTTCCTTCCTTCTGTTTTTAGCTAAATGGTCCACCGCCAGTATAGAAATGTGAAAAATTCGTGCGTTTTAAAAAAAGAACGCCGCA